TATCTCCCCCTTGTGGTCCTTTCTCTCAAATGCTTCGTATCAGCAAATACAGATGTGACCAGAGAGAGAGAGAGAGGAAGAGAATCGAGGGTGTTGTGCTGTTGGAATTTGCGATGGAACTGGCGGTTCTGCAACATAGCGAGGGACGCATTTTCCTGTTTGAACATCCAAGTGGGGCCGACAGCTGGAATGAAGAATCGGTTGTCAAGGTGAAAAACATGTCCGATGTTCATGAAATCAGGGCTGATCAATGCATGTTTGGATTGAAGGACCCCCAAAACAAAAGGTTTTATAAAAAGGGCACCAGATTCTTGACCAATTCCAAGTTTGGGTACCTGTTGCAACGAAAATGTGATGGGAACCACAATCACCAAGCCATCGAGGGTCAGTGCAAGTGTGGGGGTGTTTGGGTGAACCGGTCAGTGTGTGCTCAGGTTTATCCCAAAGGACTTGTTGAGAAGATTGTTAGCTTGGCTAGGAAAGAAGTTCGAAATCAAGTCATGGAAGTTTTTTCGGGAGATCTGAGACCCCAAAGTCAAGAGGAGAGGGCTGCGAACATGAGAGTCAAGCTTCGTAGGGCTCATGTGAATCTTGGACATCCCAGTCGTGAGCGGTTCATTCATTTGTTGAAGAGTGCTAATGCTAGTGAAGAAGCTATCAAGTTTGCCAAAGAACTTCGGTGTGCGACATGTAGCTCACGAAGACTGACTGGTCACAGACCGGTTACTAGTACCAGAAGGACTGAAGGATTCAACCAACAGTTGAGCATGGACACGTTTGAAATTCCCTACAATGGTAAGAAACTGAAGATGCTGAATGTCTATTGTGAGGGTACTGGCTTTCAGATTTGTAGTCCACTTTGGAACGGTGCCAGCACGAAGGAAGTCCGGAGAGCATATCGTCAGTCTTGGCTCAAGTGGGCAGGTGCACCAGTTCGAGTTTTGACAGATGGCGGAACTGAGTTTGATGGTGAGATGCAAGAAGGGTTTGACCATGACAACACGTTTGTTGACAAGACTGCTGCTTACTCTCCTCACCAAAATGGCCGATGCGAAAGACACGGTGGAATCTGGAAACAATTTTTTCTGAAAGCGTTTGATGAGACCCAGCCAAGAACAAAAGAGGAACTGGAAGAACTGGCGGATCATGTCAATGCCGCCAAGAATATGATGACGAGAAAGCATGGATTCAGTCCTATGCAACATGTATTTGGTTGTGACATTCGACTGCCTGGGATATCACATGCAAATAGCACATATCTTCAAGGAATGGCGGAATACCACCCAAATGATGCATGCCTCAGATCTACTGAGATCCGACTGGCAGCCAGACGGGCAATGGTTGAGATGGACAATGTTGATAAAGTGAAGAGGGCAACTGAACATAGCTCGAGGCCTCAACCTGAATTTGACATTGGTGACTATGTGTATTACTGGCGTGTGTCAAAGGAGAGTGAGAAGTATGGTATTTGGAAAGGACCCGCTCGGGTCATTGGCAAGATTGACAGCTCGAAACTGTGGATTGCTCATGGCAACAAAGTGTTGAGATGCTCCCCTGTACAACTTCAAGCTGTGTCAGAAGAACATGAAGCTGCTCTTCGATTTGTTCCTCCAGAAGCTCTGAAATCAGCTGGGAGAGGAGCCAACAGAGGAGCCAGAACGTTCATCGACATCACCAAAGAAGGGTCGCCTCCTTTGCCTCATAATCCACAGAGCCAGCCGAGACAAGTGGCAGGCAACATGGAGGTTGATGAGGAAGAGAGAGCGGGGATGAAGGAGTGGCAAATGATGAAGATCACAGCGAAGTGAATGAAGAGTCAACTAAAGATGAGAGCCAGAGCCAGTCACTGGATCTGGAACAAGCTCTAGACATGGAAGTTGAAGGAGCGGCAGAAGGAGCGACTGGCGCAGCGGTGCGCAACCCTGGTAGTGCATCGGATGCGGTGGACAGGTCGTATGGCCCAGTCCGAACTGAACCTCACCGAGAACGATATGAACCAACTGAATTGACGCAGGCACTTCGCCGATCTACAGAGATCCTGGATCAAGGAAATATTCGAAATGCAAGATCTACAGTGCAAAACGAGATTTCAGTCCTAAATGAGACTAACGAGGTCTATGAGGTGGCTCCCTGGACCACAACTGATGAGATGAAGAGACATGAAAAGATACTGGCTGAACACCTGGAATGCTTCATGACGCAGGACAAGAAGCATGCTGAGCTGAAAGATAAAGACTTGCAGAGTACAGCAGATCAGGAGAGAGTGCGCGTGGGAAAAATGAGCGAATGGGACAAACTCTTGAAAGCAGATGCAATCAAGGTTCATACTGGACAAGAAGCGCAAAGAATTTTGGAGCAGACGGATCGGAAAAGAATCATTGAGTCGCGTTTTGTCAAAACAAAAAAAGTTCATGAGTCTGGCAGTGACTATGACATCAAATGTCGCTGGGTTATAAAAGGTTTTCAAGATCCTGACCTGGATGTGCTTGAGAGACAAAGCCCAACACTGTCAGCCGACGGTCTGGCCGTGGTGCTTCAACTGCTTGCTTCAAAACACTGGTTACTGGAAATTGCGGACGTGGAAGGTGCATTTCTTCAAGGGGACATGTTCCAAAGAAAGAATGGTCCTTTGTTCATTCGGCTGCCCAAAGATGGTGTGCCAGGGGTTCCAGAGGGTTCGCTTGTGGAACTAAAGAAATGCGTGTATGGGTTGAATGATGCGCCTTTGAGGTGGTGGCATTCCATGTGCAAAACGTTGAAACAATGTGGCATGCGACAAAGTGAACTGGATCCGTGTGTGTTTTGGTATCATCACCTAGGTAATCTTTCTGGCACTATTGCCTTGCATGTTGACGACATGATCTTGGGAGGCGACAGGTTTTTTCAGGAACATGTTTTGAAAAGACTGAGAGAGACGTACCCCTTCAAACATTGGGTTCAAAAGAAAGGCGAGTTTTTAGGTCGCAGGTTGGCTCAGAAAGAGGATTTTTCCATCGAAGTTGATCAACAACATTACTCCAATTCTGTTCAAACCATCTTTATTTCCAAGGATCGTCGAAAAGAAAAAGAGTCACGGGTGACTGATGCGGAACTCAAAGCGTTTAGGGGTGTTCTTGGGACTGCCAATTGGATTGTTGGCAGCACACGTCCTGACATTGCAGTTTTGACAGCGCAACTTCAACAGAGAGTGAGTAGGGCCACTGTTTCTGATTTGATTGATGCTAATAAACTTGTGAGTAAAATCAGGGATTTTAGTCATGTGAAGATCGTTTATAAAAGTATTCCTCTTGAACATGCGGTTCTTGTGTCTACCTCTGATGCCAGTTGGGGTAACACTGAAACGTTAGGTAGTCAAGCCGGTTATTTCTTGTTGCTTGCTGATAAAAGAATCAAAGAAAACATGTGGGCGGATGTGACACCATTGCGATGGAAGTCATACAAGCTTGAGAGAAAAACACAATCCACCCTGGGGGCAGAACTCATGAGCGCAGCCAGAACACTGGCTGAAGGAAATTGGCTGAGAAGCGTTTTTGCTGAAGCGTTGTATCCTGACTATACCCTTGAAAGAGACCGTGTGTTTCGGGATAGGATGGATTTGGTTTTGGTTGTGGATAACAAACCTCTTTACGATCGTACGAAGGGAACTGGGGTTGTGGTCAAAGACAAAAGGGTTGCAATTGACATGTTGCTGGTCCGACGCGACCTTTATGCCTCAAACTCAGAGATTCGATGGGTAGACACACGACAAATGTTGAGCGATGCATTAACAAAGTGCAACGCTTGTTCTGACTTCATGCTTTTTGTGCTGCGATTTGGAAAATTTATTCTGATCCGCGAAGAAGAATCCCTGGAGTGGCGTGTGAAAGAACGTGAATTGAAGAGAAGTACTGATTCGAAGAATCGTGGCAAATTAAAAGAGAGACATCAACATGTTGAATCGGGGGTATGTGAATAGCACTATCCCATGTTGATGTCGTTCACATCTGATTGTGAGGTGCTGAGCGTGTGGGGCTTAAGCTTCGTAGAAAAAGGTCGATCTCTGCACCACTGTGACTCCATTGAGGGTCACATATATATATAACTACATATAAATATATATATAACTATACCTATTGCCAATAACTATATATATAACTATATATGTTTAACTACATAAATAACTATATATATAACTATTTATAAAACTATACCTATAACTATATATGTAAAACTATATATATAACTATATATGTATAAGTATATATATATAACTGTATATATAACTATAATTATAACTAAATGTTGAAATATATATATATACGAACTATATATAAAACTATCTATAAATAACTAAATATATATAACATTATATATGTATAACTATATATATATAACTATATGTATATATAACTATATGTATAACTAAATATATGACTATATATATAATTATATATATATAACTATATGTACAACTGTATATATAATTATAAATATAATTATGTAGAAAACTAAGAACAAAAATAAAACTATATAGAGATTACTATATACACATAACTACATACATATAACTATATAAAATTATAAAATAACTATATACATATATCATATATCTATGTATGTAACTGTACGTAAATTTATCTAATATATTCTATAACTATATCCATATATATATAACTATATGTATAACTGGGAAATATGAAATCGGTATATTTCTTTACACACAGACACATAAGTACGTATAACATCATATAACTATAATATACTATAATAATATGTATCAAAATACACATATGTATAGTATATTATATATAGTACCGTATAGGCATATAACCTAAGGTACCGCGATGCTGTGACAAAGAAACATATCAACGAGCCAGAAGGCTGTAAGCAGGTCCATAGTAATCAAGGGTTGGCAATGGGGGGAAAATTGAAATTCCCCGGCTGGCAAAGATACTTAGCATCCTGTAAGGACAAGCTCATGCTTCTGGGACCTTCTGGGCATGGCTTCCCGGACAAGAGACCTGCGAGCGCTCAACACCATGAAGGCGAGTAGTTGCGCGAGTACTGCAAGGGGACAAGGCGACTTCTGGTTCTGGCTGCTCCAAAACAGCGCTCTGCCTGACGTGTCAAGCGACAAAGAAATGCCTCTGATCAATCCTGCTGCTCCATCCAAACATTGCAAATTGTTGTGGAAAATCCCGTTATAGCTTTCACACAATTTGCAGTACGAGCACATCCAAAAATATTGGCGACATTTCGCTGCAGAGCAGGCTGCCTATCTGGCCAAAGTCGTGGCTCGCTCCCGGCTGGACCTTGCGGGAGTTGCCGCGGCACAGGGCGGTTCCTCAGAAGCACTTGCTACAGTATGCCACAGTTTCACAGCCTACTAGCCATAGACTGATTGAATACGTAAGGTGAGTTGGCCATGGGCTATTGCAGCTAGTTGTTCTGGCTGATATTGTTAAACTTTATTGCGGCAGACTACTTCCTCGTTGCCACAACATCCAACAATTCTTGCAAGTCCATTCGCTGCAGAGAGATATTCCATACCAACTAATGCAACATCACCATCATATAAATCCATATAAATCCATAATATGTCTTCATCGGCTTGTTTGATCGTCTGTTTGTGCCGCAATTCTGCCAAAGGCTCTGTGGCCCACTGGGCTCTTGCAGCGGTGGAGAAGTTGTAATACCAGCCCAAGCAGGCGCCACACCGCCAAAGCCACCAGACCATGCCAAGGATTCACCTGAATGTGGTCTGCTGCAAGTTGGAAACACAATCATCCACCATTCAGCCCAAAAAAAACTGTAAGTCTTTTGGGGGGTCCTATCCTCACAAATTTCAACGTCACGAAGCAATATGTTCAGACTGGTACAAGAAAAATCATTTTGCAGGAATTCCAAATCTGCTTTCCATCTTTCGAGAGCTTGAATCTTTTCCTGCATCACAGGTCTCCAAAAATTTATGGATTCCTAGATCAAATGGCATCAGGCTGCCGGTTTCCAAGCAAGCAACTGTAGTGTGCACACCTATCATGAAGCAACAATGCATCACTTGATTGCGAGCATTGACCAAACAAATTGGAAGCAAAAATGTCCAAAGCAAATGGAGGCTTGCTTCCCCATGCTGGTGTTGTGTGTCGTCTTCTGACGCTGTTGGGCGGGCTTCCATCCTTAGAGAACCAGAGGTGAGCAAATGTGAAGCTCAACAAATGAGGTGGCACCTTCGCTAGGAAGAGGGAAACTTCATCGGGTCATGTGTTCAGATCACACACACACAGTCACCCAGTAGGGAGTACATCAAAATAACGAAAATGAGCTGAGAATCGCACATCATCTATGCCCCTTAAATCCCATTCAAACGCCTGAAAAATTTTCGATGGGTTCAAAAATGAGATGCGCCATCTATGTCCCTTAAATCCCACTCAAACGCCAGATTTTTTTCGATGGGTTCAAAAATTAGATGCACCATCTATGTCCCTTAAATCGCATTCAAATCTTTTAAAATTTCATTGCGATACCTTGAAAATGAACCACTGAATGTTTTAAAACTGATTGTGGACAGAATGTATGGATAGAAATCTCATGTTTCAACATATATTATAGATTTTGACAAAAATATTTTGAAAAAAAAACTTTTAAAATTTCATTGCAATACCTTGAAATTGAGGTGTGCCATCTATGTCCCTTAAATCCCACTCAAACGCCAGAAAAATGTTCGATGGTTTCAAAAATGAATTGCGCCATCTATGCCCCTTAAATCGCATTCAACTATTTCAAAATTTCATTGCAATACCTTGAAAATGAACCACTGAATGTTTTAAAACTGATTGCGGACAGAATTTATGGATAGAAATATCATTTTTCAACATATGGTAAAATTTTTGACAAAAATATTTTGATTTAAAAAAAAAAACATTGCAATACCTTGAAAATGAGTTGCGCCATCTATGTCCCTTAAATCCCATTAAAATCCCCAGATTTTTTCGATGGGTTTTAAAATGAGATGCGCCATCTATGTCCCTTAAATCGCATTCAAATCTTTTAAAATTTCATTGCGATACCTTGAAAATGAACCACTGAATGTTTTAAAACTGATTGTGGACAGAATTTATGGATAGAAATCTCATTTTCAACATATATTACGTATATATTTTGACAAAAATATGTTGAAAAAAGACTTTTAAAATTTCATTGCAATACCTTGAAAATGAGTTGCGCCATCTATGTCCCTTAAATCCCATTTCATGCCGATGCCAAACCCCCTCAGCCTGCTGAACAAACCACATTTACAAAACAGAACTTTGTCCTCATCATCAAGCCTTTTCCTGCCTTGCGCCATCCATGCGCGTCCCAAACATGGCAGTTCAGCAGGCTGAGGGGGGTTGGCAGTGGCACACGCAGGCTTGTGTCCTCATCATCAAGCCCTTGCCTGACTTGCTCCATCTATGTGGTTTGGAAGTGTTTGGAAACAGGCCCGATTTGGGGGGGATATTTCTGCTTCAGGGCGGCATCGATGTGGCATATTTTGGTTAGGTTGGTTTATGGATGTCGGGAGATATGAGGGAGTTGCGCCATCTATGTGGGCATTCCCAGCCTGATTTTGGCGAATGAGTGGGAGTTGCGCCATCTATGTCCCAAAAAGGCAGCTTGATGTTGAGAGAAAATTATTGGGGGAAACCAGCGCAGAAGATTGCAAAAAATAGATCATCTTTAGGGACATACATGGCGCAACTGACCTGTTTTGAATGGGAGTTGAGCCATCTATCCCCCGCATTTTGCATTTGACATAGATGGCGCAACTCAAGATTCTGAGCCATCTACTTTTAGTTACGAGTAAACCTCATCAAACCCCTGAAAGTCAAAATCTGCAGATTCTGCAGGCTGTATGTCCAGGGTCAGGAGGCGCAGGTCTTCGGAAACCAGGAGCTGGAACCCTCCAAAGGTCTCCAGTTGCACTTCCTCGGAAGAGGAAACTTATGGAAACTTATGGAAACTTACCCAACCTCTGTCGTCTTCCAAATCTCTCATCCAGTCACCAAAAGGATGCCTTGTTGGAATCAAAACACTGGATTTTCGTGGATCGACAGCTCGCATCTGTAGGTCACCTTGCATGCATCTACCAAGGTGCAGAGTTAAAGGGTCTCGGGTTTGGTGCAAATTCTCTGGAAAAAAACATGGAAAGGAAGCGGCCACAGGACATGACAAAAACGTCAAAGATTTGGGCAACTCACTGGGGCAAAATGAAGGTTCGACAGTTCGACGTCTCACCCATTCTCTTTTACACATCCAAGCCGAGCTTCTCGCAATGATGTTTCCTCGCTGCCCATGTGTGTTTTGCATAGTGGAAATCACCTGAAAAGGCTTCAGAAATGCATAGTCATGCATGTCTCAGGATCATGTGACATCAATGGTCCTGGGCTTTATTCATTTTTCCTGCACAGGCAACAATTGCATCGCTGCATCCCGCTAAAGCATGGTCAGGAGATTCAGTACCCACATGAGGAAAACCCACAGCAAGCGACTGTCATTATATAATCTCCCAGTTTTCCACAGCCCACTGCACCTCGCTTTTGGGCTGGGACACAGTGGTCAGGGCGATGTCGTTCGGGGCCGTGTCATTCGGCTGAGGGTCACAGAGATTTAAAGTATCTGTGAAATCAGCTTCAATTTCAGCTGCCTCTTGCTGTGATCGCATGGCCTCCAGCACTGACAGCCGGGCATAGTGAACTCTTGGCATTGACAAGTGGGTATGGGCCATAGGGGTGAAATTGAGGACAACACGCGGAATTTGTGATTCTTAGGATTTAGGGCCGATGGGGAAACCAACTGCGCAAAAAAAAGGAAGCGCGAAGGTCACGAGTCATTGCAAACATGAACTCGGCATATTATGGGACAGCTTTCTAGCGCAAACGTGCTCAAACTCAGCTTTCTAACTTAAATAATCTTAAATAGATGATTTTCCAAACCCCAAAATTTTTGCCCATCGACTATAATCTTGCCTGGATCAAAGCACACATCTCCTTGAGCTGCTCGTCCAACGAAAGTTCTTCCACCTCTGCGCTCTGCTCCTCTCCCCCTGGACTTGAGGCAGGCAAGCCCTCGCCAGAAATGGACGTCTGGGCGGCTGCATCAGCTCTGCTGGGCGAAATCGGCGAAGTGACCGGGGAAGCTTCAGGCGAGGCTGTGGAATAGGCAGCTTTCGCAGCAGCTTCCTCCGCACGCATCTCGGCACGACGCAGTGGCTCATCATAGCCAGAGACAGAAACGTCAGGCCGCCCAGGCTCTACAGGGGACGAGGTCTGGTCGTGGGTGTCGTGAGTATCATCTCCGTAGAGCGCTGATTCAGAGGGAGCTGCTGCAGCTGAGGTTCCAACCTCGACTGCAGGAATTGCAGCGTCATCAACAGGAATGTGGACCTCCCCGTTGACAGGGCCAGCAGAAGGATCGGGAGGAACTTCACCGGAAACCTAGGTTCTGTGAAAAGCCCACTGAGTGATACCAAGGAGTGACCAGAAACATGAAAAAAATCCTGACTGCAAGGTCTGTCATCACCTCTAGGTGAGCCTCTGTGGGCTGATCGAAGCTTCACTCCGAATCCACACTTTGAGTCCAGCAACGTTTGTGTCCTGAACCTCACTTGGTGCAGGTCTTGACCATTCTGGATGCCTGATTGGAGCAGAATCCGAACGTAGCAGAGTTTGTCATCATTGGACATGTTCCTGTTTACCTGCGAACTTCGGAACTTGTCTACCACATATTTGACCCATCTTTGTACCTGATGGCCTGATGGCCGTTTCAGAACAAAATCAATCAACAACTCATTGAAGCTTAATCACCACCTCGGTCACTAGGATACATTCTCATTGCTGTGGCAGTACGAAGGCATAGGATGCGTTGGTCAATCACACCAAAGGCTGAGGCGGCTGAGGTATTGTTTCCGAAATTTTCCCAGCTTGTGAGTCCGGTTAGAAAGCACAATGCAAGCGAGAGAGCTGTGGAACACTTTGCAGCCTGCTGCAAAAGGGGCGTCATTAGTTTCCTTTGATCCTCTGATCATCTGAAATGAAAGATGTCGCCCCTGCTTAGCGGTATATATCTAATGTAAAGTTACTTTATATATATATATATATGTATATACATTATATTATTATTCATCTTGCTCCCACTGTTTGGCCTCGTGCGATGAGAGGACTTCACAATGATTTTCTATGGCATCAGTTGGAAATGCGTCAAACTTCCGAAGCAGGCTGCACGAACTTGCACACGAAACCTTCCCCAAACCTGCTGCTACCCAGTTACTTCTTCACCACTTCTGCTGCTCGACCCTTGCAGCAGCCGCAACTTTGGACGTGGAATGACATGGATGTGTGTTGAAGTGCCGCTGGAGCAGGATGCTTTTTGGGTGGATTTTGTCTTCAATTTTTTGGGAGAGATTGCTACTTGCATTCGGATTTTCTGCTGTATGTGTGTGTGTGTCAGTTCTAGCATGTTCTAGCCCTACTGCTGCCTGATATCCCCATGATATCCTCCGCCAAGCGGCCCAAGGATTGATGGGACAGTCCATGGCCGCCATTCCCAGCTGCTGCGCGATGATGCGACAGCCAATCAGCGCCAGCGCCAAGGAGGAGGTGACCTTCCGAAGAGTCAGGGAAGTCCTAGGGAGGTCCCAAAAAGTGTCTCCATGTGCTGCCTTCTTTTTTTCTTGTGGGACTGAAGCAATGATTTTGTGACAGAACTACAGTGAAACTCTCCATTATACATCATCATACCCTGTTCATAAAGGTTTATGATGGGCCCCTAGTGGAGGCAATGTTGTAACCCCATGTGCAACTGGTAGATGAGCTGCAAATTACGGGCGCTTGCAAAAGATGAATAGAACTGGTAGCTGCCAATCGCAGTACTAGAAGGCCAGTGGTTGTCACGAAAAAGTCAGGTTGCAACACCATGAGTCTGGGTTCCAAGGCTGATACCATGTTATACCCCACTTATGACGCTAGGACTTGGCCTTGTGAGCCTACCAGTGCACTTTGTATCAGCTGATGCTGCCTCCAGCTGGACATTTGTCTTGCTGTTTTCAGCGTTGTGCTGCGCACCTGTGGCTGGGATACAAGATCTCTGTACAAGATCTCTGTGGCTTTGGACCATTTTTCAGTGAAAGGATCGTGAGTTCATGGATGTTCATGGTCACTCAGGCGTCTCACGTCTGGTTTTGGCCCATGCACTTTTTTTACTGAAGCAGCTCCATCATTCTAGCTGTGTGGTCGGCAGTTTGGGATCAATTTCACAACAGGATCTCAGCCAAAAGCACTATATAAATGTATGTTTTTTAGAATTTCCCATGGACTAAAGCATCGCAAAGATGTTCTCTTATGAACAGTCGAAAAGCGAGTTTGCTCTCCATGTTAAATATTCTGATATACTGACAAAAATATGTCAAAAAGGCGGTAAATGATTGTCCCCGATGACTTCAAAGTTCTTTCCCTGATGGATCTCAATGGTATGTCAACAGTCTCCCCCAGTCAGGCACAGCAGGCCTTGCTCAAAGTCCTCCATGAGTTGCCTTAGAGCAGGCCTCGTCAGGGAGGAAAAGGTTGTCTATTTATCTCCCACGTTCTCTGCGGCAAGCGGTAGAACTGCTTGAGCCATGATTTTTCATTTAACCTCCACTGAGTTACTTTCATTACGTTCAACCCGACAGTTGCAGGCTCCATTGCCTCAACTCTTCCTCTCGGGGCGCCAGCACATTCACCTCAAAAAGAGTGGTGAAAGCTAGCTCTTTTTGCAGAGCTTCTGGTGCCAAACAGAAAAACAACGCCCACCCCGCAGATCACAAGCCTTTCTCAGCATGTCCACCATTCGCAGGTGAAAGCTCTGCATTGGATGCGTTTCACTCTTCGCCTGGCATCAGCACAATGAATGATACAACTTCGCACCACCTAGGCTCAGAGGTTGTCCTGAAACCTGAAGCATGCTGACTCGGGCATTACAAGTAGCATTGGCCATTTTGGCAATTCAAATCACTTGGATCTTGACTTCTTCACCTCACATCCTCCCAGCTGCTCCCAATTTCTCCCAGTGCTTTCGGGTGCTCAAGCCACCTGAGAAAGGCTGTGCCGAAAGGAAAAGTGGCGAGAGAAGACGTCCCGTCGCTCCTCCTCTGCCAGCCAAGGCCATGGCAACTCCTGTCTGCGTTGGTCAGAATTGGTCAGGATTGAGGCGTTGCCACATCGCCCGGTCAGCTCCGTTTCCATCCCGCCAAGGATCAAGAAGTTCAAATATGTTATTGTAATTTCAATGTGTAAGTGTGTATACATACGTTTGTATGTATGTATGCATGCATGCATGCATGCATGCATGCATGGATGGATGGATGGATGGATGGATGTATGGATGTATGTATGCATGCATGCATGCATGTATGATTGATTGATTGATTGATTGATTGATTGATCGGTTGTTTGTTTGTTTGTATTCTTGTATTCTTGTATTCTTGTATTCTTGTATGTTTATATTCTTGTATTTTTGTATTTTTGTATGTTTGTATATTTGTGTGTTTGTGTGTGTGTATGTTTGTATGTTTGTATGCTTGTATGCTTGTATGCTTGTATTCCTGTATGCTTGTATGTTTGTATGTCCGTATGTTTGTATGTACGTACTGTGTATGTAATACATTATACATACGTATATCTGCTGGTCAGGAACCTGAGAAGCACTCCATAAGGGCAGTCCCTGCTTGAATCGTAGTGGTCCAAGTTAGAACACAGCATCACAGAGCTCATGGAGAAGCACTCCTGGTCTAAGACAGGCCGAAGGATTTGCATGATTCTCTGGTCCGTTGGGTCCTGCAAAGGAAGCGTTGCAGGTCCTCAGGCCTGTTTGCTTCCTACACTTCGGATTTGAAAACAATTGCTTGCGACCTTCAAACGAAAGCAATGAACCCTCGCAAAGGCCAAGCCATTTCAGGAAAATGCCATTTTGGCATATTTTGGCAGGCTAACAGGCTCCAGAAACATTTTTGCCATCCGCCCCGCCTCTGGGCGCAGGTTCAAACACGTTTGCCCATAAGTCTCCACCTTCATCCAGCTCTTCACAGGTAGACCTCCCATGACTCAAAATGGATTCAACCGTGGTCCAAGGCTTCAGTAGTGATCACGGGATATCTTCGGAACGTTCCACGAAAGAAAGGGAATAGAAGGGACCTTTGACATTCTTTGACCATTCGTCAATATTTTGTTTCTCTTTCTGACACGTCACTTGAAGCATGGACCAAAGAAAAGTTGCCGTCTTTGGAGACTTTCCAGTCAGTATGCTCAATTGCTGGTCAAGGTCTCTGCAGCAATCCACAAAGAACGTCATAATCTGTCTGCATGTCAGACTTCAATCAGTCGCATTCCAGTTTGATGCAATCGGATGCAATTGAAGCACTTGTGCATCTGCCAGCACTTACAACACCGACAGCAGCAGGACCCACCTCCAGGGCTGCCTGAAATGGTTTTGCGCCGGGCATCCTGCAGGCTGAGAGACAACCGGTCACACTATAGGACAAAGTTCTTCAAACATCTTAAAAATCTAAAACCATTCTGAGTCTTTGAAGATGTCTTGAAAAGGGTCAAACACCTGAATGGGCTGGAATTGAACCCAAATGTGCTGTCACTTGTCTATCTAGCTTTTGCAGGCTGGCCATTCCAGTGAGTCATAAGACCTTCGTTGCATGATTTCATTTATATATATATATATTATATGAGTGATGCAAATCCTTTGTGATCAATTTCAACGTGGTGCTGAGATGTTCTTTAATTTTGGTTTGGAGACCCAAACAGCCAAAATCATATAATGTTCCTAGCAGCATAAACACCTTCCTCTTGATGGGCCTATGAGGCCTATGAAGTAATTTTTCCAACACTAAAGTAAGCAACCTGGACGTTTGGAGGCTTCTAGTTTCAGTGATTCCGCAGTCCAAGTATTCTACATTGCAAGTGTTGGAGAGCTTAAGAGGATATATTGCTGGCTTTGGTACAGGAGAAACAGGATGAGCAAGTGTTCAAGCATGGATTGCAGCTGGAGCGGCACCTCTGCCAGTAGAACTGGCCCTTCTTGAGGCATGCCGGTGCCTTCAAATGTTGTGGCATGCTATGGCTCTATGGGTTCATTGGCACATTGTCATTGAAGCAGGACACATTTCACACATGTACAATCTGTACACAATCAACATCCACCAATACCATCCAATACCTGCACAGTGATCCCCGCTTGAGTCAGCTACCCCTGGATATTCATGGCTTCATTGGTTTTGGGTCTCATAAAATTGAGTCTGGAAGCCTTGAATCTGTTTGGGATTCTGTTTAGGATTCCTAACGAGCATTTCAAAGACCCATGTCTGTCATTGATCGCCAAAGCTGCCTTTGCGCCCTTCAGATGTTGTGCTCTCGCCACCACTGGATTGCTCACTATCCAGGATCAGCCTCTTGGCAGGCTTTGAACGGACTGGCGACCTCAAAACCCACAGCATTCATACAATCTCATGACTCATACTAAAGAGATGTCCCATTGTTCAATGAAAAGATAGCACAGTGGAGATATTTTAGCCTGTCCTTCCCACTTGGGGTATGGCACATGCGGATCCAGCGTATCGATGTGGGCCAGGTTGGATGCAGTGAAGGGATGGTTTCCAACTCATCAGAGGGGCACAGAGGTTCACCGCTGTAAAAGTTGCTGTAAATCGGAAGGGGCCAACCGAACCCTGATAATATGAAAAAATACCAATATGTAATACGTATGATACTGTATGATGTTTTCTGAAGGAAAGGCACATACAAGTGCCATCTAGTGCCTTGAGTTAAAAGAAGCCTCGTGTAGGGGGAGAAACATAAGCTGGGCTGATTGTATGCTATGCTTTCGCACAGAATTTCAATGCATGCAAGCTGGTCATAGGAATGCATGGGAATCGAGTAAATCTTGAATGGTATTCCTGTGACCACAAACGGCTACTTGCAACCCGACCAAAAGTTGCCGAGTTTTCAACCTGAAAGCAGTCCTCTACATCCTCTACTGACTCTCTACAAAAAGAAATTGGGTTTTCTTAGGAACACGGTCATCATTGGAACCTTTTTGAGTCTTTTTGTGTTGCAACCTCGCCAATCCTCGCCATGTGCTCCCCTGCACCTGTCGATGGCTCTGGCAGTACGCAAGGCGGAGTGTGGGGATCTCCATCCCCGGCCGCTGGGGCTGGCAACCTGGCAAAGTGCAAAGAGAGGTGATGAAATTGAGCAGATTGGCCCCAAGATTGGCTTCAATTCCGGGCAAGTCACCTCCATGTTGTTGCAGGACACGATTCCAACCAATTCCAACCATATCCAAAGTACTGATGTAAACGTTGTGGTATGCTTCCCATTGAAAGGGCCAAGTCCAGTCCTCAACCAGTAATGTAATTACTGAAACTAACACGGAAAGACCCAGCCTGTTGTATCTGGTCTACATATCCGGGGCTGTTCAGCATTGCCTCAGGTGTCAAAGTGTGATACAGCGTTGGTTGCAGCCATGACCTCAATTCCTTGCATGGCCATGTCCGCAGTGGGATTCCCTGTTCCCTATGGTTCTTCAGCAAAAAGATGCAAAAAGATGCAAAAAGATGCAAAAAGCATAAAATGTTGTACTTCCTTAGGCAAGTGCCAAAGCCTGAAGTCTACAGCGGTGTCCAGGCAACACCTTGAGGCTGAAAGGTGGCACCACCGAAGAGTACCGAAGGCACATCTCCTAAGATCTTGTCACCTTGGCACCTTGGCACCTTGGCACCTTGGTACCTTGTCACCTAGTTTCGACACCAAATAGCTGGTAAATGGTGGTAAGATCTGGTAAGATCTGCGAAGCGGGTGCCCCATCCTCCTCTCACAGAATTGCACCCTGTCGTTCAAGAGTTCACAACGCTCCCTGTCGTTGGCAGCATGGCTTGATATCAAGTGGCAAGGGTCGAAACATTCCTTACAGGAACCAAAATGTTGCCTTTCAAACAGATCTTGAGCATCTGGGCTCTGCTACGCTCACTCCAAGCTGAATCTTGTGTGCCCAAATGCTGTAGAGAGTTCAAATTATGCTAAAACATGTTTAAAAAGTACAACGCGCAGTGAATTCTGCAGCGAAATTTTCAAGAAAATGTTGAGGACCTCACTGTGCTGTCGGGATGATGGTGTGATGCTTCCCTGCTGGTAGTGTTGTAGAAGTACTTGCGCTGCCCGTCCTCGCCGGGCAACTTTTGCAGACTCCAGCCCTGGGAAATGTCTCTGAATGTTTCTCCATGTTTCTCCACTTTCCTAAGGCCAACCATGATATATGTCTGTATATACTGTATATTTATATATATATATAATTATATATATATATAATTATATATATACACAATATTTATGTATTTTCCTTGACGCGACTTGGTGCAGCATTAATGCTCCTCAAGAGTTAGATCGAGTCCATATCAGAATCTGGAAGGCAGCTCCGACAGTTCTCGGACAACTTATGTCAACCCAATACCCCAGATTATGCACGATGATCTACGATGATTATGATGGAGATCAATTGACACATCATGTAGTCAAGTCATGTCACGTCTGCAAAACCTAGGATGGTTTTCTTCGCACTACGTATCAATGCTACTTGAATTCCCTCCCGGATGTGTCAAATAGGGAACCCTGAGAGGTCCTCCCCAATTGCCTCCTGCCACTGGCGCAGCTCCTGGGCTGGCAATCTGAAGTCGAATTCTGGGGAGACCCAGAATCAAACAAAACCAACCAAATTCCAAAAGATCTAATAAGCCTATCAAATCTATCAATGGCCAGAATACACTGTGTCTCAAAACCAAAAGAACGCAAACTCTCAACTCTCACCGACTGAAAAAAGAGCAAGCACTAACCACGGGCGGATGACAGACCTACATAGAGGCCCTTACTTTTTGGAGTGTCCGATTCCCGCCGGCCTGCTTTGCTCTCTGGGTCCACTCTCCGTGCAGCTCCTTCAAGTGTTTGTCGCGTTCCTGACAGAGTAGTGATAATGTCAAACAATGATAAACAATGTATATTTGCTGCATGTTGAAATCATGGATACGTTTGCTGCATGCTATCAAGAGGTACAGTAGGACACGTATCTGCCAAGGCTGCGTACATGTCGTCTAGCTCTCCATTAGCATCCAAAAGCCCACCAGCATTTGTTCAAGCCCCTAGTGACATCACTCCCAACATTTCTTTTTGGTTTGAAATCTGCGCACAGCAGCCATCTGCAGTCTATTCAGCCAGCTTTCTTCACTGAGTGATTTCCGCTGTCTCTTGTCGGCCTTCTTCATCTCAGGCGAAGATCTTGCAGCCTTATCCTAGGCTTATCCTTGTGTTCGCTTCTTTTTTCGAAGCTTCTTTGCTGGTTTTGCTTCCACACAGTCGATCTGTTCGTCTTTTCCGCCATTCAGCAAATCAAAGTCGTCATGGAAGAGCACCTCACCAGTAGCAGCTTCTGTCTCCAACATCGTCATCAAGGCTTCATCATCATCATCGCTGTCCTGTGCAACTTGTGCGACTTGTGTGCCTTGTGCGGCTGTCGCAGGTGTGACCTTGGTTCGCTTCTTCTTTCGCTTCTGCTTTGGCATTGTGTCCTCACCGGCACCGTCTGAACCACCCTCTCTTGAGAGATTTAGAGAGACTGACACGAACTTTGTCGCGATTTCCTTCCTGTATGATGGATGGAAACGTTTCAGTTGACTTTGAAAGACACGATGCAGAAGCCGCAGTTTGGACGCATTGCAGCCAGCCATGCCTCCTGCCAAAGCTGTCCAACCTTCTTTGTCTCCCACGGCAAGGGTCGAATAGTTGATCACCTGTGCTGAAACCAAGGCAGCCCTCAGCTTGAGGTCGGGAAAGGGCAGTACTTTGGGAGAAAAGTAGGGCGGCTCAAAGTCCTGCACTTGGCTTTGCCGAATCTCATGGCTTGATCAAATTTTAATAGCCCAAAGGTTTGCTGGTCTATTTATGTATTGAAGGCGGCCAAAGTTTGTCTGGCATCTTAAGTTGTGGCCCAAACCCAACTCTCACCCACCGTCCTCGGTGCTGAAGCCAAAGGAGAGCGCCACCCGTGGCGGGACACTCCCACTGTTCCGGCCTGCGCTGCCCCAATGAATGGTGCGATGTGTATGAAAGGTGCAACCACCAGCTGGCACTGGCACGCTGCGGATCTTCTGATAAGCGGCCTTGTCCTGGAAGACCCTTTGCAAAGGATCTCCATCTTCCGGATCTCCGGCAGAATACCCTGGATCCACACTTCTGGGCACGAAGTGCAAGCAGGAGTTCTCTGGAGTGGCATCAGTAAGCGCAGCCCACAGAGTGACGTATTTCGCCATACCATCTGCTTTGAAGGTGCTGGAGGTTTCTGCTGCAGCACCCTTGGGCACCCAGTCCTCCGGTTGTCTATCCCTATGAGGCGAGAAGCCCTTTGTCTGCGTTGGACGTACCAGGAAAGCAACCACATCCATACACAGGCTGTTGCCTGTCGCTAGTCGCATGATTTCTTGTGCATCCTTGGCCATGACCCAAGCTTCGTCGTACATGGCGATGAAGGTTGGAGGCCAACCCTGACGTTCGAGTTCAAAGATGCCTTCAGCCAGCTGTGACACCTGCACAGACCAATGCACCTGGGAAGGCTGCAGAGACGCAAAGCCTTCCTCCAGAATACCGGCCCTCACCTCCCGACAGGCATCAGCGGCAGTTGGTGCCTTCTGCAGCAGTCTATCCTCAGGGTTTGGAGCAGAACAGCTTGGAGATTCTTGATCCAAGCGTGACGCACAGTTCCAAACCGTCGGGTAAGAGGAGCATTAGCTCGCCATCAACTACTGGGAATATCTGGGAATCATCAAGAATCGCAAACGATACCAGGACATCAGTAAATTTTGGGACACCTAGACCCAAAACGGCACATATTAATTAGTTATAAATACTGAGTCTTGAGTTTCCCTATTTTTGGTGTGCCCAAATTTGATCCAAATCACAGTAAGACCGTCCTGATAGTTCTTGTCTTCCACATGCAGCTGAGGGCACAGCTGCCTCCAGTAGTCAGCTGACAGAAGTTGCTCCAAGCTCTGCGACTTCTGATTGGCCATGGAAAAACATCGGCCAAAGGATAGAAGAAAGACTCCGATGAGAACAGCCCCACTGTGCCACTGGTCACTAAAAAATCTACCCTTGCGCTTTTTCACTAACTCTTAGGATTCTTAGGCCCTTAGGCAACTCAAAATCCCATTCAAATGTGCATCTTTAGAACTGTCTGCAACAAATCAATCCACTATCTGGATCATATTGATCCAAGCTTGAGCCCAGTTCTTGATGGACGAACACATTCAAAAGCATGAGAGGCATTCTTTAAGGCATTCTTACTTAGTCATCTTAGTCTTCCTTCCACTGTCTCATGTCGAAAGCCATGCAGTTCGGACGGCCCCTGGATTCATCCCATGTCTTTCCTCGTTTCTTTCACATCTATTCACCATTTATATACCATTTATTAATATATTCAATTTATATTCAATTTATTGCCTTTTCTTCCCCTTGATTATGTTTTCCCATGTTTTCCCGGTATGTTAATCGTTATTTCCGTTTGTGACTTGTTGCGCATATATTTTTTTCTGATTCCCGATTCATTTTTCCATGTATTTCCCCTTCGTTCCCCCTACAGGAATTATTCCCCGTGTTTGTTGCCAATTTTCCTTTCGGTCCCCGATCTGCCCTTGATTCCACATTCATTCTCCATCTATGCCCTCGCCGTGCCCACTCTATCCCCGGTTTCTTCCTCATTTATGCCCCATGTATTTCCCCGTTTGTCCCAGTTTATTCCCCATGTCTTTCCCCTTCCCTTCACTCCCCCAGTGATTTGCGATTTCACTCCGCATTTCCGTTCCCTTGATGTATTCGCCATCTATTCTATTCGCTTTTGATTCGCCATTGATGTCCTAATGGGTTTGGGACCCGCTACTCATTTCTCCTCCCTTCCCCGTT